TTCAATGAGACCTGAACTGAAATTCTCCCCTACTGTTAGGACTGTGGCCCTTAACAGCTATAATTTACAGGGATTCCTGAGTTTGAGTAAATATGAAGAACTCTTACAGAAACATGTTAAACCCAAATGTTTTTGGTTAATTGAATTCTTGTACACCTAGAATCTGTTCTGTGTAATCGATCCTTCCTTCCTTTCTCTTGCCACTGTGTGAAATGGGATGTTCTATGTCTTTGATATAGCAGGAATTTTTCTTAAAATCATTGTTGTCATCACCTAGATACCTCCCCCATGTGTTTTAGAGTGTTTCCACACACATTGTCTTGTAACGTAAGAACAGCCCATTTAGTCCAGTGTCCTGTTCTTACAGCAGCCAACCAAATGCCTTCTGGGAAGCCCACAAGCAGGACGGAAGCACAAGAGCATTCTCCCCTCCTTTGGTTTCTAGCAACTAGTTTTCAGAGACATTACTGCCTCCAATCACGGAGGCAAAGCATAGCCATCGTTGATAGCCTTCTCTTCCATGAATTTATCTGATGCTCTTTTAAAGCCATCCAGGTTGGTAGCCGTCACTGCCTCTTGTGGGATCGAGTTCCTTAGTTTTAACTACACTCTGCATGAAGAAGTACTTCCTTTTATCCAGTTCTATTTTTCTAGAGAAAGAGAACACCTCCCTTTGTTCTCTTATCATGGCAATGGTGCCCACCTGAAAGGTGCCAGAACTGAGTCCCAGTAAGTTCCGGCTGAAAAAAGGCCTGCTTTTATCTGCCCTGAATCTTCCAACACTCAGCTTCACTGGAAGTCCATGAGTTCTAGTGTTATGGAGGGAGAAGAACTCTTCTCAAGCCATTTCCTTGCACAAGAGTCATGGAATGCAGGCAGTATTATTTTCCCCATATTGCAAATGTGATTTATCTGAGGCCACAGAGGAAGTTCGGAGATCTAAACTTGGGTTCCCCACATCACATTTTTAGCTATGATTCTGAACCAGCTCTTAAAGGAGAATTGCAGATGTGGTACTTAACATTCATCTATTTTTGTTTCCTCCCAGAGGTTTCCTTGAACCAGGCTTGTCAATCTGGTGCCCTCTAGGTGTAAACAGCATTTCCGTGCGCTCTGGCACTTGTCACAGTGTTCCATGCACCAGAAGCGGTTTAGTCATACTGGCCACATGACCCAGAAAGCTGCCTGTGGACAAATGCCAGCTTCCTCGGCCTAAAAGCGGAGATGAGTGCTGCACCCCAAAGTTGAATTCAGCTGGACTGAATTATCCGGGGTCCTTTACCTTCTTACCTTTTGGACTACAATTCTCATCAGCTGGGGCTGATAGGAGTTGTAGTCCAAAACATCTGGAGGGCACTGGTTGTCAAAGGCTGTTGCTGACATTTCACCAGTTAGCCCAACTTGCAGCCACCTGTAATGACAAAAAGATTCCCTACCCCTTCCTGTCCTCTTAACACTCTTATTTACTTACATCCTCTTGTGGGGATCAAAAGAGGGGGTAAGGTGGAGTGATGAGCAATTGCGGCACCCAATGGCAGAAAGGAGTTCAAATGACCATGAATGTCGCATTAAGTTGTCAAATTGACCAGTATTTTTTCCGTCATCGAAACATTAGAATGAACAGCTTTAGACAATAAAATTGTTTCAATTATAACACATTAAGCCATCCTCACAAGGAAAGGAAGTTGTCTGAGTCAAAGGGGAAAGAATTCTAGAGGACAGCAACTTCCTTAGTGCCAGAGAATTTTTGCTGGGACCTTCCTGTGAAAAGACAACACCTGTGAAGGGAGTACAAATTGAATCATTTTTATTTATTTTTTTTAAAAAGGAGTCTCTTACGACAGGGACAAGAAAATGGGTAATGTTATAACAATTCTGTTTGTGTCAAAAGTGGAACAGCAGCCTTAGAGGTTGCTAAGCAGAATTGTATACACCTTACATATGTTTAGAACAGGGGTGGGTAACTGGATCTTGCAGGTCCCCTGACATCCAGTGACTTTTTTGCATTCTTTTGAGTGTCCGCAGATGGCTATAGTCATCATCAACGGCAGATATACAGAGAGGGAGTGGCTTAGGTCTCAGTGAACTCCACTCAGTTTTGAGGGATGAATTAAATGGTCTGTAGCCTGGGACATAATTAGAATGGGGACACCTTCTTCTTGCTCCAAATGCAGAACATTAGCAAGCAGCAGGACATCTTGCAAAGGGTAGAGCAATAGAATACCGAATGTAGAACTCACCCCAAAATGGGACTATGCCACACAAACATTTAATCCATATTGAAAGCCTATTGACATTTTATTTTTTTTAGATATCTGCAAAGGGGAATGGAAGTCTTTATGTATTTGGGGGCCATTGCTCACAGTGACAGCATCATTTCCTGTACATGAGCCCTGATTGGGTAGAGTCACACATGTGACTATTCCCAGGATCATTTCCCTTCTTCTAAATTGGCTCTGTTGGGCCTCAGTGATGTTGGTGTATGGCCAAATATATGCTCCCTTGAGCTCCTTTGCAAAAATGGGGGAAGGGATGCATTAAATTATCTATATCTTTATCTACTGTATATCTATATCTATATCTATATCTATATCTATATCTATATCTATATCTATATCTATATCTATATCTATATCTATATCTATATCTATATCTATATCTATATCTATATCTAGCTAGCTATCTAGCTAGCTATATATCTCAATACATTTCTCTGTCACTTTCTTTGTTGCAAAAGTCATCACCCTTGCTGCATCCCTAGAATTGTACAACCTGAATTTGCAAGTATGTGATTGAGTCTCACCTAAAACAGTGACAATCTTAGTCTTTTATAAACGTGGCTTCTATCACTATGTATGTAGCATTAGTCAAGTTTGCTAAAAACAGTCTCTGATCTATTTCTCTCTCTCTCTCTCTCTCTCTCTCTCTCTCTCTCTCTCTCTCTCTCTCTCACACACACACACACACACTTTTACTCAGACAATAATCTGGCACAAATTATGTAGAATTACACACACAGAGAGAGATACCACACATTTATAGCCATGCTCGCAACACAGAGATAATTTCACAGTCAAGACACATGCACTTGAATGTAACAGCCAGCTTGATAGGGTGTACTCAAAAGAGTGCGTGGTACATGCACAGGCGAGGGAGACCAGAGGGAGGTTAGCCATTTCACTGAATGTGAAAATGAAGAAACAGCAGTGGTCTCCGCTTTTGTCTTCAGCCAGCTCTTCAAGATGTGAGAGGCTCCAGTGGGTGGGAGACCTGTGTGTCGGCCCCCACAATTCTGGGGGTAACCCTGGCTGTTCTTCTTTACAATTACCTTTTTTTCTTAAGATGCCAATTAACCCTTTCAGGGCTCCAGAGCCTACTGTGAGGAGACGGGAGAGGGGCACTCGCTTGTCCTCCCCGATCGAACGTCATCGTAACCAATTATGAGGAGGCAGGGGATGTTGAGGCAGAATTGGTGTGCTGTTGAGGATACATTGGTACTGCCTGATAATGCTTCGTTGCAATGTTTGGCTGATATTAAGAAAGAGACTGGACATTTTTGTTGAGAGATAGTGCTCTTAAAACAGGGGTTCCAACAAACAAACAAACAAACAAACTGTGTCTAGCCCACCACACCCACTGCAAGCAGGTAAGCCAATTCCATGAGAAAGAAAAGCTGGATTATATGGTCTGTATGAATTATGAAATTAAAGTTGCCCAGCATGATCTTCACCCCTGCACAATGCACACACATTAGGGATGGAGGAGGAAGGTGATTCAGGTTCTCAATTAATAGCAAACCTATCTAGTCCAGACTTTTCTAGACAATACATGAACAGTAACAGAACTAGCAATCAAAATTTGTACTTTTCTGAATTTTGCAATGCAGTTCTCCCACCAAGTAATGTGTACAAAAACACATACGCTACAGTAAAGTGTGCATAAAAATGCATGGATTGGTGAAAAGAATATAAACAACTGTGTTATATGAGGAAAAACTGCTTGACCAAAAAAAAATATTAGACAAAATCACAAAAGAAGTATATATTAAAAGACATTCCCACTCAAATGCTGGTGAATTTTCACAAGGGCTCTAAAATTAAACAAGTGGAAACAGATGAATAACTGTGGAAAAACTGAAAAACTGAAAAACTGAGACAAACTGAAATTGACACATTCACCCATTCCTCCCACCTACAAATTTCTATCCCACTTTCTCAGTAGAGCTGCTTGTCCCACTATCTAACCTCTGGAAATCATGTCCAACGTGACTTGTAGCTTCTGAAATGTCACCAGTAATTCCTCATAGGCTTTTAACTTTAAGGGATAGAAACTTAAAAATGGAAGTTGAGATTGTTTTCAGTAGGATTCTGAGTTATTTGGATGATACTATAGTATGCATCCTTTTGGGGGCCAGCCCTAATAGTACCAAAATGTGATGCTTCCTAACGAACTAACATGACACAAGGAACAGAGGCAGTAGAGAAACTCTGAAGTTTCCAGAATCAAACACCTTGGAATATCCCAGTCACAGAGGTAAAACAGGCAAACAGATGGAAGTTAAGGCTGACAATGGCAACTACCTATGATGGCTGTCTTCTGCCTTCATTGTCGGAGGCAGTATGCTTCTGCATCCCAGTAGCTGGGAATCACATGTAGGTTGAGTGCTGTTGAATTCAAATCTTGGACACTGTAAGAGCATAGTGACATTTCAATCCTGCCCTGGATAGCCTTGGGAAAATTGTCATGTCTCATAGGAAAAATTTGCCTTAAGAATTATGACAAGGATCAAATTTACTTACTTACTTACTTACTGGCCACAATTTCATTTTAAAAAAGTGAAAGCAGTGTTCAGCAAACACAAGCAAACCACATTAAAACCAAATTTATAGATCACTGGCTAACAGAAATAATTGTCTGCACAAACCCAGCAGGATAGAAACTTTTTCAGCAAACCTTTAAGAAATTAAATAAAAAAATTCCTTCCAGTAGCACCTTAGAGACCAACTAAGTTTGTTATTGGTATGAGCTTTCGTGTGCATGCACACCTCTTAAGACACACTGAAGAAGTGTGCATGCACACGAAAGCTCATACCAATAACAAACTTAGTTGGTCTCTAAGGTGCTACTGGAAGGAATTTTTTAATTTTGTTTTGACTACAGCAGACCAACACGGCTACCTACCTGTAACTTTAAGAAATTGATTCTGAAGATGCCTGCTGTAGAGCATTCCACAGGCCTGGGCCAATAACATTAAAAGCTCAGACTTCTATTGAGCTCAGATGAGTCTCACCAACATGGGGAACAACCAACGATGCTCTCAGTGATCAAGCTGGGAAGTGTTTCAAGTTATTAGCTGTCTACCCTCGTCCTCAGTCTAGCCATTGCATCCCACCATTGCATTCTGCACTAGCTGGAGCTTCTAGACTAGGCTCAAGGGCAGCCCCATGGAGAGTACATTGCAGTAATCCAGCGTCAAGCTTATCAGCACCGTTGAGAAAAACATACCTAATATACTATGCTTTCTACTCCTACTTTGGGGTACAAAATTGGGCTTTCATAAGGATTGCCTGAACCTTAGGCATCTGGCTGACCTCTGTGAGAACAGGATGCTGGACTAGATGGGCCATGGGCCTGATCCACCAGGCTCTTCTTATGTTCTTAATAGTTGGCTTCTGCCACTGAACTATCTAGGCATATGGAACTCTGTTTGCATCTAAACTCCTGTACATTAGCAGTCACTGGATGAAAGCAATGGAAAGGGAGGGGGAATATGATATTGGAAGCCAGGCTGCATTGTTAAAAGGTTTGAGGTTCATTTGGTCAATCAATCATGCAGTGCACCAAATCTCTCTTCCTTAATACTATCTTATTCTTCCCACCTTAATTAAAATCTGCAGCCATCGATTTGGTCTCTTAAGACCTTCAGTCTGATTTCAATTTGAAAAGGGTCTTTGGGATAAATAAAAAAAATGCTTGTTCAGACCAAAACACTGAAGTCTTAGGGTGTCAGATGATTAAATGTTTTTAGTCGATTATATGCCATACTTTTTAATTGCTTAATTAAACCATTAGAATTGAAATTACAGTTTCTCCATATATTCTGGGGAATACTTAAGAAAGACAATGTTTTCACTTGATTGTCACATGGAAATGATTTATTATCTAGAAAGTTGTTGCAGGATCACTTACAAGCCCAGCTGCACCAATATGTTCTTAGTTAGTCTCCCAGCATGCCAGTATGCCTAGCTGAATTCAATATCATGGTCTACAGCAGCTTTTGCCAACCGGGTTCCCTCCACCTATGTCGGTCTATGAGGGAATTACAAGACCCCTTGAGACCTTTGGGAATCTCTTTACTGAGAATTCTCACCATCTTCACTGAAGGACAGTATACAGGGTTCTTTGAAAGTCACCATGACAGCTAAATTGGTATAAAAACAATATACCTTTTGAGTGTTTGTATACCATATTCCAGTTAGCCAGCCATATGCTATTGGTCCATATTAAAACCATCCTATTAATTTACAAAGCAATTAACTCCTTGGGTCCAGGAAAACTCAAGGACCACCTGATTCCTTATATTCCTGCCCAATCGCTGAGATTTTTGAAGGAGTCACTGTTACTGGTGTCCCATGGCTTAGACTCACAGCTCACATCCACCTGGAGCTGTGGGTTCAGTATTGTGGACCCAGTTCTGTTTCTTCCCAGCTGAGATCAGACAGGCCCCCTACCTACTGAACCTACTGGCAACTGCTGAAGTGTTTCAGTTGGGGGGGAAAAACTCAGCAGGCATTTTAAGTAAGCTTTTCTGGTTCATTGTCATTCATTTTATCCTTCATATCTCTTTTGTAACTTCATTGTACACTCTGAAGTTAGTGATAAGCAGTATATAAACTGTTTACACAGACAAACTGCAGCATAGTGTTGCACAAAAAACTGTCCTCCATTCAGGCGAGCCAACTCCAGAGGGCTGACGTGTCTCCTGCCCCCCTCAATATTTATTGGAAGGGGGCCAGAGCCCCTTAATGTTGAGGGGGCAGAGGAGCACCTGGCCTCCTTCAGATGATGTGATGTCATGCACACAGTGCACGTCAGGCCCCCTCAATCTGGGGGGCAACTTGGCACCTCTGCTTCCATTGTATTAAAAATGTTCTTCCTCTTCCAAAGGGGCATCCATTTTTTCCTCTTGCCTCATTTTCAGGGTGCTTGAGCATGTCTTGAGAAAATGGGTTTTTAAGCTTATCTCACATCATTGTGAAGTGGCCGGAAGTGGCACATGTTTCCCTCAGTGAAGATTTCTATAGCATTCAGAAGCCTCCCTGACAGCCCACACTTCTTGATCTGAAGAAAAATCCTTCCATAGGAGGAGCTGATTTGCATTGTGTTCACCTAGGTTTTGATCAAAGTGTGGGCACTAAGGGAAGCTGCAGACTTCAGACCACTGGTGTCAGGCCTCAGAGAATCGGCTTATTCCCCCCATGGCAGTAGATAAGCAGAACTAAGGAAAGGGAGTCTTCTTACCAGTTAGAAACTTTAATAATCACAGCGAGAGAACAAGGAACCCATCTCCTAGAAATAGCGGTGCTCCCAGTTAAGGATCACCCCCCTTCCATCCCTATTAATCTACATCACTCCTACGTCTTGTAATCTAAGCTTGTACCCTCTGTGCTTTCTGTTCTGACACTTTCTGAGCTCTCCGTGACTTTGGAGAAGGGGGGTGAATGCTGTCCAGAGACTGTGAATCCGTTAACTGTGAATTCCAGTGTTTCTTCTCCTAGCTGTTCCCCATCCAGTATTTCCCAGCTTCTGCCTTCTGAACTATGTCCCTATGTTCCAAATCTATACTGTCCTCCTGCTCCTGGGAAGATTTGGGATGCGGATCTGGAGCAGGGGGCAGGTGGAGGCTCCCCCCATTCCTCCTCAGTGCAGTCCTCCTCAGCACGGTGCCTGACAACTGGTGAGATGATTTGAATAATGAAAGAAAGGCCACTTGCAAAAACCTCTTGTCCAATTTGGAAAGCAACATAAGCATATCAAAAGGCCTTTACCCCACCCACAAAAATTTCACCAAAATGCTCTCGTCTCCTTGATAATTTCCAAATGCAGTATCTTTTCTTATTAATTGATGGGGAGGAACAGAAGTTTTTTTGGCATAGCAGCAGAATAAACCTAACCGCTAATCTCTCTTCTCTCTCTCCACACACACACAATATATTTCATTTTTCTTTCCCATCTCAGAGACAGTAGATGACATCTCCATTTAAGGCTTGCCAGCAAAACATCTGCCCAATCCATAACCCAACTGATCTCAACTTACTTTCCCGAAGCAGATGATCACATTATTCTTTCTTGCAAATGCAAATATGTTCTGATCTCCTGAAAGGAAGAAAATTCCATTACAAAAGGGATTTGTCATACTGTTTGTTTGTTTTCCCCCTACCAGCAATCATGCGGCACTTGACGAAGAACAAGAAAACATTTTGCTTTGAAATAGTTTGCCCATAATGTGTAGGTAATGTGATCGCACCTCCTCCCTACCACAATTAAGATAGCATGTTTCTTGTTTAAGCCCATATCTAAATAGCTAGAGTGAACTTAAAGTCTCTGATTGTGTTCATACAGTTGGGATAAAGCACAATAGCAATTAAGCCTGAGAACTTATTTTAAAAGCCTGTAACCATGCCTTTGGAAAATAAAACACTTGCTTCCCCCTGATTACAAAGTTTTTGAATTGCTATAATGACTGCAGGAAGTGCACTGGAAAATGGAAACATTTCTTGAAGGGCAGGCCATGTGCAACTCATAATGTTCTACTTTAGGGGTGGGGGAATCTCAGCCGGGGGCCAAAATGTTGCCCTCCAGGCCTTTCTTGGGGCTCTTCCCAGACCACACACCCCTCCCCAGGCCACAGCTCTCAGCAGCCCTGCTCTGTGCCCTCCTCAAATGTTTTTACCTATCAGGAATGTCTTTTTTTAAAAAAAGATAATATTTTTATTTATTTTCATAGTACAGAAGATAAATTTTGAGAAAGCAATGATTACAACAGTGAATAAGAAATAACTTGTCCTGATAAAATTACAGATTTTTATCATGCGGTGTGTTAAAGTTTCATTTGATTACTCTAAGAGATCGCGCCACATTTTCTTTGAACTGTAATAGTGCCTTGGATGGAGGATGGAGAGAGATGGGAATGTTCAGGACTCAAAAGTCTGTCTCACAAAATTGTATCCAAAGAACCTCAAAGCTAGGACAATACAAGGGCATAAGACAAGCTTGCTGGATCAAGCCAATGGCTCGTCTAGTTCAGCATCCTGTTCTCATTGGGGCTACCCAGATGCCTGTGGAAACCTACAAGTAGGACCCAGGTACAATAGGACTCCCCCCTCCCCCGTGGCTTTTGGCCAGTGTTACTCAGAAACATTACTGCCTCCTATTATGAAGGCAGAGCATAGCTATTATAGGTAGTAGCCACTGATGGCCTTATCTTCCATGAATTTCTCAAATTCAGGGTAAGCAGCGAATATACCTTGGGACTTGTCAGTGAGCCATGGGTAATAAATGCAATAATAATACTACTACTACTAATAATAATAATAGTTGCAAATCTAACATCAGTCAAATTAGCAACATACCCACAGCTGTGAATTTCACAAAACACTAATTATTAATGACATACTGTACTCTTTTTCTTTTGTCAAAAGTATATGAAATCACTGTATATATATGCTGTATATATCACAGCCATATAAGCTAAACAAGCTATAGCTTAGGGCCCCCAAAAAATTTAAAGAAAAAACAAACTGGATGTACATTTCCAAAATATAAGATAAAAAACAATTTTTTAAAAAACCTACATACAGCAACAATGTTTTTAATATTCTTCTTCTTTATTGTATTTCAGTTCAACAATTACTTTGATAAAATACATAATTTGTTATGTGCGAATGGCTTTAGATACCTATTAGGTCCATAAATTACCATATAGCATATATTCAACACAAAAAAAGTGACAATTTGTTGTTGACAAAGGACAGCTGGACATATAAAGGGCCCCATTACCTTCAGTAGCTTAGGGCCTCGTCAAACCTAAATCCGGCCCTGATCTCAGCCCATGTTCTCCTACTTTAGCTTATATGCTCCAGAAGTTTCAGTTTGGCCGAGACACAACCCCAATTGGGCCTTTCAGAGGGATTCAGATTTTGGCTGGGTCAGTTTGAGATAGTCACAGATTGCTGTGGGATGGATGACCGAGAGCAAACTGGGGCTGTTAGGGGGAGGGGCATCAGGCAGGAAGGAGAGGCAGGCATTGGCTGGGAAAACCCTGAGAAAAGGCGGAGACCTACCTGACTGCAGGCTGTGTCTTCCCAGGAGAAGGTAAGTGCCAGACCCTGTTCTTCCCAGACATTGCATCCCCTAAGCAGCGCCTCACAGGATTGATGCCTCTGCCCTCTTTAGCATCACACCTGTGTGGTCCAGGGTGCTCCTTTGCAAGCCGCATCCTGCAGAATTGAGCTTCACCCCACTTTCAGTTGAGGGCAGTAGATCAATGTGTTCTTGGCTCTGTTTGATTAGGTTTTGGGTTTTGTTGTTGTTATTTAAAAACAACAACCACAAGCACCCAACAACCCCACACAATTAAATATTGGGAGCATGGGGTTGCTCAAGGAGGGAGGGGCTGTGCACATCTCTACCTGAAGATGCCGGGGATTGAACATGGGACCTTCTGCTTGCAAAACAGATGTTCTACCACTGACCTATAGCCCTTCCCCAAGTTAAACTAGAGGAGAAATATATAAGGAATGGACTCTAGATGGCTGCTGTTCTGTTTGGGCCATGACCTAATAGGACCCGAGCTTTCCAGTCCTTGAGGTTATAATGGATCCTCTTTAGACTGAGAGAGCCTGGGGAGATGAGCTGTGCAGGGTCATGCCACACACAGGAAGAGTGAGACTTTGAAGGTGGTGATTCTGCAAGATTGAATAATATCCACATAATTATAGGGTGGGGAGGAAGGCCAGAGCACTGCTGGAAATCAGAGACCAGGCGCATGGTGTGTTATCTCAAAAATGTAAGTGCTGAGTAGCACTTGCTGTTGTAACATTGACACTGTCTTGTGGACTAATTGATACATGGAATTAGAGCCCCTAGAACATGTTTTCTTACATTGAAGAAAGAGGAGCCCCCATTTAATACCCGATAATCTATCAATGTAGCTGCGTACATACTATTTTGTTAAACTGCTTCATTTCCATTTTCACAAAGGATGCCTACAATATTTTACCTATTTTTGTTTCCCTAAATGCAGTCACCCTCCTGAGATATTAGCATATTACACAATTACTTTTTGAAATAAATAAGTGGGAAAAATAAATAACCACACATATTGCAAAGAAGTTGTGCATTGCTAAAGTGCTGGGAAGAGGGAAGAAGACAATATAAATGGAATTGCAAGGGCTGCTTTTGAGTTAACCTGTCAACTCAAAATAAAATGCAAATCTGCAAGTCCTGGTTTCATAGCAGACATTTGCTCTGTGTTCAAGCTACCTTATATCTCCTTTAATGATACCAACTGGAGGAAAGAAAGAGGGGAAAAACAGTTAGTAAAATACAATTATCCCCTTGTTAAAATAAACAAAGTGTTCAGCGGCAGGCGACATAAAAGGGCCCGTGAATTCATACATATTTTAAACACATAAAGCACATGTGTTAATAAAGCCACTTTAAAGAGAATACATCAGCCTTGCCTATAAATTATGCTGCTTCAGGCCTGCCATCGTTCACCATCAGCCTTCATTCCTATCTTAAATCACCCATAAGTAGTAGCTAATCTTGAGTGTAAAAGTTGGGGAGAGAGGAGGATTTAGCGTTGGGGTTTATACAGTGTTAATGAAAGGGATCCTCTTCTAGCATGCTAATGCGGCTATTCCTCTTTCTCACCACACATTCACCTATTAGAAATTGACAATAGCATCGCACGTGAAAATCCAGACATTGGGGTGGGGGGCGAAGGCTGATAGTAGATATTTACCCAAGAAAATATCTGCCACAGAATTTCATTTTCCTAGAACCGCCACCGAATCTCACCGTAGAATCGAGACAAAGGACATCTCTATCCCACTAGTGGTGGAAAGAAGAAGGAAAAAAGAGCAGAAAGAAATAAAGGAATAATAATAATAATAATAATAATAATAATAATGCGAGGAAGCAACCCTTTGTGAAGCACCTAAACCACCAGAATAATAGGCTTTGGAAGGGGAGGGCAGTGAGCACAGATAAAATACAAATTTTGCTCCGATCTAGGCTGGATTACTTCCTCGTGCCCTTGCCTTTATTGAGCGATTTGGAGTTTCATTAGAATTCAGGATTCCTGTGGAAAGAAAAACCGCGATGGCACGGACTTCTCTTTCATGGGGATTGCGGGCTGACCCATCAAAATGAAAAGACTCAGTGTTTTGCTGACAGGTCCCTGAGCAGGCCTGAGTGACAGCTTCATTCCAGTGCTTCTCAGATGAGATTTGAATGGGGGGAGGGGGACAGGGAAGGTAGGAGTGGAGAGACTTTGTTCCCTTTAAAAAAGGAGGAGAAGAAAAAAGGCCAGTGTCAGAGCCGGTAGTTCATGTCCCCGCAGCTGAGGTACAAAATCGAGTCAGAAATCAGCTTAAGACTCTGCTGGCTTCCAAATTTATTATTAATGCTTCTCTTGTGCGAAGATACAGGAGATTTCATTTAAAACGTGGGGGTCTCCATCTTGGGGGTCACCATCTCTGCCCCTTCCGAAGGAAACCGGAGGGGAGGGGAAAACACACTCTGCTTAGTCGGTTTAGAAATACTGTTATACAGCCGCTGCAAGAATATGTATTGCTACCATTTCTTTATACACACACACACACACACACACACACACACACACACTGTGGTGTCATGAAGGGACTCGTGTAAGCAAAAGGATGCCATCAACCTCATTAGCATCATAGCTAAGAGTGTAAATCGGGGGCTGCCGACCTTTGGGGGGCCGTGGTTGCATGTGCAAACCACACACAACCAATCACACACACCACAAGCTCTTTTACTGATGACAATAGAATGTCTCTCTCCAAGCCTAATTTCAACAGGGGGAGAGAAACCTGCAGCCAGTGGCAGACCTACATTTTTTTTGGGGGGGTTGAAGCTTGAACTTTTATGGGTCCTCCTTCCCAACCAGCAACAAAATCTGGGTACCCCCTGTTATCTTCATCAAAGGGATTGTTCACAACAACCTTTGAAACATCTGTGCTAGGTAAAGGTAAAGGGACCCTTGACCATTAGGTCCATCTTACTTTATTGGCTGAGGGAGCTGGCATTTGTGTCAGACATGTGGCCAGCATGATTAAGCCACTTCTGGCGAACCAGAGCAGCACACAGAAACGCCGTTTACCTTCCCGCCGGAGTGGTACCTATTTATCTACTTGCACTTTTTTGGCGTGCTTTTGAACTGCTAGGTTGGCAGGAGCAGGGACCGAGCAATGGAAGCTCACCCTGTCGCGGGGATTCGAACCACCGACCTTCTGATCGGCAAGTCCTAGGCTCTGTGGTTTAGCCCACAGCGCCACTCGCGTCCCAACATCTGTGCTACTGACTCTCAAACTTTGGGATTGTTGAGATACATACAACAAAAAAATAGACCCATTTTTAAAAAAAGTTATGTGGACTAGTCGCTTCTGAGGCCCCTCTAGGATTAGGGGCCTTGAAGCTTAAGTTTCCTTAGTTTCATAGGAGGTCCACCCCTGCCTGTGAGTGCCAGGGAAGGCCTCTCTGGGTGCATGGGTGCTTGTGGGCACAAACTATAAATTATACCTACTGCTAATCCATATTACAAAGCTGCCTTATGTCCTCTGGTCAGTGGCCCATCTAGCTCAGTATTGTCCACTCTGTCTGGCAGCAGCTCTCCAGAGCTTCACAGGAGCCCCCTGACTGGCAGCGGCTCCTGAGGGTTTCAGGCACAGGTCTTTCCCAGCCTTCCCTGGAGGTGCCAGGGACTGAACCTGGAACATTTTTCATGCAAAGCAGATGCTCTGCCACTGAGACATGGCCCTTCCACATGCCAAAGTTCAACTGAAGTTGGCTTTCCTTTCTTTCTGCACACACCACCCCCGATTATATTATTCAGTCACACAAGTACTGGTGCCATGCATAATATCTACAGCATTTGGGACTCTATAGTAAAATGGAGAAAAAGGAAGAAAATAAAAATAGAATTAAAGCCTGTTTTTGTGCGTGTGGTTTTTTAAAGCCATCTTAGTATTTATTTTGTTACTGTTGTTGTTTCACAACAAGATTTATATACTGCTTGACTGTAATAAAATCTCAAAGCAGTATATAAAAAGAAAAAAGACAATAACATTATCAGTAAAACAAAACCAATTAAAAACAACTACAGTGGTACCTCGGGATGCGAACGGGATCCGTTCTGGAGCCCCGTTCGCATTGCGAACGGAAAGCAAGATGCAATGGCGCGTCTGCGCATGCGCGTGCCGCGTTTTGCCGCTTCCACGCATGCGTGCGTGAGCGGCAAAACCCGGAAGTAACACGCATGCATGTGCGAGCGGTGAAACCCGGAAGTAACGCGCTCCGTTCCTTCCGGGTTGTCACGGAGCGCAACTCGAATGCGCTCAACCCGAAGCACATTCAACTCAAGGTATGACTGTATTTAAAATATTGAAAAATAATTTAAATTGATGATATGCTAAAACACAAATCAGCGTTCTACATGACTGGATAGGCTTGCCCAAACAAAAAACGTTTTAGTAGGGACTGAAAAGAATATAATCAAGGTAACCACATGATGTCCATAGGTAGGGAGTTCCGTGTGGGTGCTACCCTAAGAAAAGATTGATTTCTTATAAATCCATACTTAATAACAGTACCATCCAATCTATAAAAACATAGGATACGTCTCTTGGATCAGACCCAATGTCCATCTGCTCCAACATCCTGTTCTCTGGGAAGCCTGTAAGCAGCACATGAGTGCAAAAGCATCTTTCTCCACTAATGCACCCTGGAAATTGATATTCAAGGGGAAACTGTCTCTGCCAGAGGAGGTAGAACAGAGCCATCATGGCTAGCAGCTCATGATATTTCGAAGAGTGCATTCTGATCCCATTACCTATTCTCATAACCATGGGTGGCCCTAGGACCTGGCAGAGTAAGACAGATGTTGGTGGGGTGAGGGGAATGATAGCAAGACATTGGAGGATGGAGGTGTGTGGATCACTTGGCCTGCTCTGCAACTCCTCAGCTAGCCTCCTGCGCTCTGGTTCGGTGGAGGACACTGTTCCCATCACCACTGCTGAACCAAGGCTCTACCTACACTATTCATTTAAAATAGTATCATGGCATTTTCAGCAATCATGGCTTTCCCCCACCCCCCCCCCGCAAAGAATCCTGGAAACTGTAGTTTATTAAGGGTGCTGAGAGTTGTGAGGAGACCCCTATTCACAATGGCCATGGAAAGAGGGAGCGATTGTGAAGCGACTATGGGAATTGTCCATAATGAGAACCTGCTGGATCAGGCCTGTGCTAGTAGCCCATCTAGTCCAGAATCTTGTTCTCAACAGTTGCCACCCAGATGCCTCTCAGAAGCTTGCAAACAGGCCCTGAGCATAAGAGCACTCTCTCCTCCTGGTACAGTGGTGCCCCGCAAGACGAATGCCTCGTAAGATGAAAAACTCGCTAGACGAAAGGGTTTTGCGTTTTTTGAGCTGCTTCGCAAGACGAATTTCCCTATGGG